TTCTCGAGACGATGAAAGTCAAAGCAATTTTCCTCTTTAATATGACTGACTCTTTCCGACAAAGGATAGGGAATTAATCGAGATCTGCATACGTTGTGAGAACAATATAAGAGCTAATTGGATGTCAAATTTTATATTCGATTAATTTGAAAACCGTAACGATGCTTCAGTTTTACTCTATAATTTCTATTAAATTTTTATAATAAATAATTTAAATATTTAAACATCGAAAACAAAAAATGGGATTTTCAATTTAAAAAATTCAATTTCTTCTATTCCCTATTCTATACTTAATACTCTGTTCTACTTTTTTAAAATTAAAAGCAAGGATCAGTTTAAAGGCTTCAATTCGTTCCAACCATATCTATTCTAATTTCTAAAAAAATAAAGGCAAGAATCGTCCAAGAATTTTCTCTAAGAATCTTCAATTCGAAGCTGAAACCAAGAATTCTCAATCTTTATTAAACTTTCCTTTGTAAACTTCAATTTCTTAGACCGGATTTTCTTTTAAAAAGTTTCTTCGATTCCCTATTCTAATATCCAATACTCTGTTTTAATTTCTAAAAATTAAAGAATCAGTCCGCTTTAAAATCTTCAATTCGTTCCAACCATATCTATTCCAATTTCTAAAAAAATAAAAGCAAGAATCGTCCAAGAATTTTCTCTAAGAATCTTCAATTCGAAGAAACCAAGAATTCTCAATCTTTATACTTTCCTTTGTGAACTTTAATTTCTTCACTAGATATATCCCTAGATTAATGTTTCCTCCACAACATTCAATTCCCTATATCACGTCTTAGCGTTCGATTTTAACCTTTAATTCTTCGATCAGATATAAGCTTAAATTTGAATCCACTCTGAATCCATCGACGAAATCTCGTTAGCCATTCAAAACGACACAATGTGCCCGTTTGTCCGAATATTAATCCCTGATTCACTTGAACTCGGAATTACGCACAAGTCGCATATGTATATTCATCGAATGGCCGTTGCGTATCGATCGTTATAATTTCGATGATAATAATTCTCGCGATCGTTACGCGCTGCCAACTTAGTAGCTTGTTACCTCGGTGCATTGTTGTCTAGGGGATTTTCCCGTGAATTGAAAATGGAGAATCGCCGTCGACTTGGAGCGTTCTCGATAATTAGAGGCTTTGCATCTATCGTTCCATCGCTCTGATTTCTTGAACGTTGATCGATTCTATACATTAATACGTTGTTGCTGGTGCATTTATGTTTTTTCGATTTCCATTAACTTCCTAACCTCGATTACGGTTACTATAATTCGCGAATTAGAGTTTGAAGAGGTTAGATTTGGAAGAGGTTAGGTTTGGAAGAGGTTAGGTTAGGTTAGGTTGTTTCTTTCAGTAATTTATTTAGATTGAATTGGATTTCGATTAAATAGATTAGAAACATGTTAAATGTACGATATTGGGGGGATGATAGTTTTCGTGAAACTATGAATGAAGGTTAAATAATTGAATCGATATTATTGACGAATCTCAAGTTATAAATTATCGTTATAGATCGTAAATTTAGATTTTTAGATACTGAAATTGAAACTAAAGTAAAGATACAATTTCACTATTTAAATATCATAAATATCATATACTTCGCTTTGAAAGTTTTTTTATCTTTTTGCGTGTAGCGTGTATTCGAGAGATAGATTTAAATTTCTCATAAAACGTATAAATTTCCACAGTTATCAGTCTCGATAAATTTTATATGAAGATACAACAGCAATAAATCTAGTAATAAAATCAAACGTATTGTACGAGTAATTTTTATTCATTATATCATAGTGAGATTCTATTACTATTGTATAAAATTCAAAAATTCTCAAATCATTAATATTTGAACTGTGGATTTTTATACAATTTTTTTTTTTAATATATATATATATATATAAAATTTTTAACAATGGAGTGTAAATAAAGATTCGCTTTTTATTCTTCAAATACAATATTGCCGTGTGTACTCTGTAAATTTTCGTACGTTTAAATTCTACACAAATATGTGCAGTTGGCAAATTCTCGTAAAAGAGGATCCTTTCTCTCGATCGATAAGGATCCATAGGTTTCATAAAAATTTCCTCCGCGCGAGGAAAAAAAGGAAAAAGAAAAAAGAATATCGGGTCGATTTAATTCAGAGCGGATCAAATTAGATATACACAGATTAAGTTAGAGTCAAGTTAAATTGGTTGAAAATAAAATTAGAACGAGATTAAAAATAAATTTCATCCCCTGGTGGTTTATCCTCTAACGCCTCAGGATGTTTATTATTTTCATAAATCATTTTTCCAGGTCAGTGGGGACGGATAGGTAGAGATCAGGGTGAACGTACTCTCGAAATTCCCTAGTATCGGGCTCCATTCAACCAAGCTCTATTATTAACACCGGACCTTCATGGTGTGTCGTGATACGGCCGCGTGTTCTCGCTCGTATCACGATCTCACGCGCATCGATTCTAGCGTTTCGATTAATAATCGCGACAAGCGGCTCGTTCCAGTTTCCTGGAACAGGTTAGCCCGATTCGAAATTTCCCAGATCCTAGATTTCCTAGAGTTGCACAATTTTCACCAGAAATTCCACTCGACGAATCTCAAAATGAAACGATAGATTTTCGTTGGAATAAAGCATTTGTTGAGATGATTTTGGCGTTAATATTCGCTATTCGAATTTTTTAGAACAGGTTGGACCGATTCAAAATTCCCTAGATCATTTTTAGCCGAAATTGCACTCGACGAAAATGGAATCAACTATTGACACGATTGCATCGTTTCGATTAATATTCGCGAGATTGGCGCTCGTTCAAATTTCCTAGAACAGGTTGAACCGATTCGAAATTCCCTAGATCGTGTGATTTTTAGCTGAAAGTGCACGCAACGAAAATGAGACGAATCAACTATTGACACGATTGCATCGTTTCGATTAATATTCGCGAGATTGGCGCTCGTTCAAATTTCCTAGAACAGGTTGAACCGATTCGAAATTCCCTAGATCGTGTGATTTTTAGCTGAAAGTGCACGCAACGAAAATGAGACGAATCAACTATTGACACGATTGCATCGTTTCGATTAATATTCGCGATATTGGCGCTCGTTCAAATTTCCTAGAACAGGTTGGACCGATTCGAAATTCCCTAGATCGCGCGATTTTTAACGGAAATCGCACTCGATGATTGTCAAAGCGAAACGATTTTTGTTGAAAACAAAAATTTCGATGATTAACGCTCATATGAATTTTCTAGAACAGGTTGCTTTATCGAAATTCTCTAAGTGCGATTTTATAGTAGAAATCTCGAACGAAACTCGACGATTCTCGAAGTGAAACGATGTTCGTTGGCAATTGACACGATTGCGGCGTTTCGGTTAATATTTGCGACTAGCGCTCGTTCCTGAAACAGGTTGGGTTATCGAAATTCCCTAGGTCACGGGGATTTTTAACGGAAATTGCACTCGACGAATCTCAAAGCGAAACGATTTTCATTAGAACAAAGCAGCTGTTGACACAGTTGCGAGGTTTCGGTTAATATTCTCGGCCAGCGGCTCGTTCGAATTTCCTGGAACAGGTTCGGTTATCGAAATTCCCTAGGTCGCGGGGATTTTTAACGGAAATTGCACTCGACGAATCACTCCGCCCAAAGTGGAACGATCTTCGTTGAAACGGAAAAACTATTGACGACGCGATTACTGCGAAAAGTTACTTTACTGCTCGAGACTTAAGGATTAATTTATCGTTGGCGTGCATCGAAATTTCCAAGTCGTTAAAAACTCGTTTCGAAAAAAAACTCGACAATCTTAAGAAATCCACTCTTGCCCAGCCTTTGGTCAACCCTTTCTTAGCCAATGAAACCTTGTCTCTCCACTCTAAATTTTTCTTTCGATAAATATACATATCAACAGATAGATAGATAGAATATCGTTTCTGGTTTCGATACTGGTTTAATTTCTTCTTCAGCTAATTTGAAATGATTTCACGCACGAAGTAACGTATAAAATTTTTATATTTTAATATTTCATGTATCTTTACGTATAAAAGAAAAAAATTGTCGTTTTGTGCGATATTTTGATAATAAAGCAATTTTACCAAGATGCATTCTCAATTCGTCAGGGCAGCCTTACAATAATATGCTCTCACATTCACCGTCTTGTTCTTATTTTTCATCTTCTTCCTATTTTCGTTCGAATAGAAGCGATTTCGTTATCCAATAACGTTATTCAATATCTTATCTTCGCTCGAACTAATCTCATTATTCCATCCTTACAAAACTCAAAAACTTCGAAAATAATATTTCTATTGCCTCACGACCGTGTAAAACTCGAATTAAGATGCAATTTGAGATAATCAATTTAATATGAGATAAAAAAAATCTACCCATTCAAATTATATTATTCTACACTCTATATTGAGTTGTTTGGAAAATAATTTCCTTTCTTTTTTTTTTCACGACAATGAAAATCATTAAATAAATCAAAATAACGAAAAATCGAATTCGACAAATTCAATCTCGTGGCAATTTCTCGAATTGTTGTTCGTCGATTCGCTTCGATCGGTTTGTTTTATCTTCGTCAGCTTCGACCATCTTCCAAAACGTGGCTCATCTTCAACATCGAAACCAAATTTTAAAAAATCAGCATTTTTACCCGAACAATAATCTTACCTTCTCGATAATAATAAAAAAAAAAGCAAAATATACCGAAAATGCTCCTTTCGACCTAACATCTTTGTCATCACACAGAATTTTTCCTTACGAATAAAACGCCAACTCTCAATCATATAAAAATAACGACACGATTTAATTGGCTGGACAAACAACGTTCGACACTCGTGCGAGAAAATTGAGATTAAAAGAATTATTAGAAGAAATCTATTCTATGAATGAATTCTATTCCATTCTATTCCAAAAAAAAAAAGGAAAAATTCAAAATAAATATTGTCGCCACATTCTAATTAATTTTAATCGAGAGCGGGAGGATACAAAGATATCTGGTCACTCACGTGTTCCATCATGGCCGGGTAGTACGAAGGGTAGAGGACGAAGGCTCCGATCAGGTGCGCCACGGAGAAAACTAGGCCGGCGATGCACGCGTGGCGCAGCCTTATAGGGAGTAGGGCGTACGCCATGTAAATGAAGAAGCACACGGCCCACGCCGCGGCCAACGGGCCCCCGCTACGATGCTCCTTCGACCCGAGCGCCAGGTGCACGTTAAGCGACACTTGGAGCGCGAGCAACGTGACCAGAACGATCCCGCTCACTCCCGCTAACCAGATCTCGTTCATCCCTGGCCTGGATATAGCCGCGACCAGTGCTGCAATAGAAGAGAAACAGGACGCTCGAAAAAGTTACTAGACGTTTTCCCCCGAGTGCTGGGGGAAAAGTTGGGACTTTTTTTTTTTTTTCACCGTGCGAAGGAGCTTGGTGGGAGGCTTTGGATCAAGTTGGATGCGAAGATTTTGTATGGATTTTACATGAGAGGAAAGATGAAGGAGCTTGGTGGGAGGCTTTGGATCGAAGTTGGATGCGAAGATTTTGTATGGATTTTACATGAAAGGAAAGATGAAGGAGCTTGGTGGAAGGCTTTGGATCGAAGTTGGATGCGAAGATTTTGTATGGATTTTATATGAGAAGAAAAATGAAGGAGATTGGTGGAAGGCTTTGGATGCGAAGATTTTGTATGGATTTTACATGAGAGGAAAGGTGAAGGAGCTTGGTGGAAGGCTTTGGATGCGAAGATTTTGTATGGATTTTATATGAGAGGAAAGATGAAGGAGCTTGGTGGGAGGCTTTGGATGCGAAGATTTTGTATGGATTTTATATGAGAAGAAAAATGAAGGAGATTGGTGAAAGGCTTTGGATGCGAAGATTTTGTATGGATTTTATATAAGAGGGAGAGAGGAGTGAATAGGGATTTTTGTTCATTAAGAGAGGAAAGTTGTTAGTTTGTTTCTCTGGTAGATATTTAAAAAATATATTTTATTGTATTATTGTATTTTATTTGTACTTTGTAATTTATTTTATTATTGTAGTTTATTGTATTATTGTTTTTCTGAATTGGAAACGGAAAAATGGATGGATACGTAGATTTAGTTGACTTAGGAATTAAGATTTTTGTTTTTATTGTTTATTAGACAAAATTTTGGGGATTCCATTCCCTCGTCAATTTCTCATTGTTATTTATTTATACTACGTATATTTCAAACGAAAATATATATATATATATATATATATATATTCAGAAAAATTAAATTGAGCTCTTATAAACGAGTCATCACTCGATGAGAAGAATGATTGATAAAAATCTTAAATATTTAACCCCTTTCTAGAAACGTTATCGTTATTCGTGTCTAATGTTACGTTACGACGAACCAACCTCTTTCTCGCATACGTATTTATAAAAAATTGCTCTCAAGTTGGTCGAAAAGTTTTAACTGGGATGATGAAATTATCGTTGCTCGTTTCGCATTGAAATTCGTTCTTCCACGTGGAAACACGTTAGAAAC